CAGAATGTTTTGCTGCAAAATTATTCAAATTCTAAATGACTGGTTAAAGTGATTTCACTTCTATTAGCTAAATCTTGGAGTAAAACTGGATCTTTAAAAATATGTGTCATGGTATCCTGTAGCTATTCCTACATCCTGTTTGGGGACATATTTTTGAATGTCAGAGTTTATGCATGCACAGCCCCAGTGGTCAGGAAGTGTTTTATGGAGAACAGAATAGAGGGAGTTTGAGGACACCCAAATAAAAGACCAATACCACATGTTGATAACTGAGTAGTTAGGAGACCTCGCATGGTCAGCAGATACTGTGCCTGTGAGTCATTGCCAGAAATTCATTGCTTCTTACAAGTGGAGGAAAGTACATGGTATCTGTAGATTTGGGGGACCCATCAGTAATCTATGACCAGGGAAAAAAACATGCATTGTTTCCTTGGAGAAAACATCATTCTTAATCCTTAAGTTGGGTAAAAGAATATTTATTGAAATATTTTAGAGTTAATGAAACATGCAGGCAAAATAATTTAGCACATACAAAACACTAAATAAGTAGAAATTTTTGTTATAGTTATCATTGCCCCATGAATAGTTGGTTTTAACCCCACAAATGCTCAGAAGGAAATAGACCTTGTAGAAATTATGAGTGTAATATATAAAGAGCATTATTCTTGTTTAAAGAAAAGAATTTAGCAGTAAGCTGAACTCTGACCAGAAATGATTTGGGAAAGAGTAAAAGGCAAGAAAAATGATAAATCACCATTGAAAAATTTCTAGCACCTGCTTTGTCTTGAAATTTTCTAGTACCTGGCTTCCTAGATGGGGAAAAACCCATGGTGCAAGTGTTATTTTACAGGCACTTGGTATTTGCAAGCATCTTTCATTCAGCCACAACAACCCTATGACTGTTCAGACTCTATCGGGATCAGGACCACTGTCAGTCATAGTAGGTCACCCAGGTTCGACCTGACCAGAAAGAAGTCAGAGGTAACCCCAGTAATGGAGAGCCTAACCCCATGGCTTCTCTCCACCTCAATTCAGAGCAACCCAAGGATGATCCATTTTCCATCTTCCGTCTGCTAATTTCCAGAGAGCAGCTTGGCTGAGGGCTTCAGGCAGGGACCTTTGGGTCTCCTTAGGGTCAAACAGCAGCTCTGCACCTTCCCAGCTGCATGACCAAGGACAGGCCACCCCATCTCTCTAGGGATGTTTCCTTGCAGACATACAAGAATGATGATGACAGTAATTCCCTTGTGAGTTTGGGTTTTAAAAAATATTAGACTATTTGGCTGACACATAATAAGCAATTTTTTAAAAAGGTAGATGCTATCATAGTCTGAGTACCCAGAACCATCTCTTCAGCATCAAATTCCACAATGAGCTTTCAGACCCAAGCATTGCAAAGTACCCCTGGACTGCAAGGACTACCACCAAAAAGTGAGTCAGAATCCACTTCTAGGTGGCACCAGCTAACACCTTATTCTACTTGTCTTCCAAGCAGCTTCCTCCCAGATTAAGAGTAGCCCAAGGTGTTACAGAAAGTCCAGGGCCAGACACTGTGTAGATGATTACACAATAATTGTTCAGTCAATCTCACTCTCCTTGCCTGTGGCAGTGTTGAAGTTGAAAGTATCAGCAGGGGAGAAAAGAAGACTTTCAAAGAAGGTGTGAATGCCAGAGTTATGTTTCCTGTTTGTTTCTAAATTATGGATTTCAGAGTCGCATGCACGGCAATCAAGGACTTTCGGAAATGAAGAAATCCCCTCGGGTGCCCCTGGCGCTGCTCTGCAGCCTGCTTGTCCTTGCTTCGCCTTTGCTGTGTTATTTCTGGGTACATGTGTTTGTTTCTCCAGGTGCCCTCCAGACAGCCTGGGCACACGTGTGATGTGCAGAGGGAAACAGAGCAAACAAGAGAGGAGAGGATGGAACCAGGAACAAAGTGGCCAGGGCAGAATAGAAAACCAAGCTCGGACATATGGAGCTCATCAGGGAAAAAGCAAAACTCTCCCTGCCGTGTAAATGTGTGTGAGTGCCGAGCCGAGGGAACATCTGAAGTGACTGTTGCTCTATGTGTCTTGCAAATTATTCTGTGGTTCCCGCAGAGTTCCTTTAGGGTGATTGCTATTAAGCACCACCTAAGCCCATCCCAGCTCGGCCCTCAGAGAGTAATGTTCAGAGACATTTCTGCACTCCGCAAGAACGTCAGTTTATTTGAAAAAATCATCCAAGAAATCAACAGAGACAATTCTCACTCACAGATTCATTGCTGCTCATTCACATTGGGCCTCTCCTGCACTGAACAGCTGGAAATTTCAAGGGAAAATATTAGCCAAATAATTGAGAGTGTGTAGACAAAATAGTTAACAGTGGTAATGTTTCTCTTTCATCCTATGAGTGGAGATTCGGTAAATGGCTTTTACTGGGTTGACTCACATGGCAGTGTCCCATGGAGTAGTACCTGCCTTCAAGTAGAGGGAGAACGAAGGCGCAGGAATCAAGCATGCTCTCACCACGGGGCAAGCAATTACACTGTAATTACAAGCGTGTGTTGAGGGTGACGTGGGGGACCGAGTCCCTTCTGTTTCTTCTGTAAGAATCAATCAAAAGTAACAAGAGAGGGAGCCAGGTCAGCAAACACACCAATGCTGAATGTTTTCCCTTTGAAGCCAGAACTCCTTTGACCCCAGGCACCATTGATTGGCCGTCAAATCTCAGAAGTGTCACAGAAGGGTCAGCAGAGATGGCTCTGGAGGGAATATTTTTTCACACGGTAAATCTATCCAGACCCAGAAACTGAAACAACAGTAGAACTCAATGCAGCCTTCTGTGTTCCCCTTTCACCTGGTTCCACTTTGAAAGCAAAATCTATACCAGATATTAAATAAGTTAGTGAGCTGGGGGAGGAAAACCATGGGCCAGCCTACATTTCATACCTCAGAGTAGGTGATAGGGACATCGTAGCTAACACTAAGGCTAAACTGGGAACCACTCTGAAGTAGAACTACAGGAATTGGGATATTTGATCAGAGTTTTGGAGCTGGCCTGGAGTCTTGCCTAGGCTGCAGGCAAATACAAAACTACAAAACTTGGCCTGGAGAAAACTCACAGAACAATAGAGCTGAGAGTGGCCCTGTGTTGGGTGATTGACGAATAACAGGAGAAGCAGGAACACTGAGATGCATGCTAGCAGGAACAGGGTCCTCAAGTCCACATGTGACAAGAAGGACACCATGATGAATGAGACTAGGGCTGATGTGCCTGCAAGGGCTCTGCAGAGGGCCCCAGGCTCTGCCTAAACATTTCCAAACGTTAGCTCATAAATTTGTGTGCACAGAAAACACAAGAAGTCAAAAATAAGCCCAGAATGACCCGTACTAAAGATATACCCTCACTATGTTCCAAGACTCCATTTAAAACTAAACCCACTGAATTCCATTCAGGAGATGTAGAATCAAGTTTCTGATATGTGCGCACGCCTTTGTTACTGTGGGGAACAAGAGAAAAGAAGGCTTTTGACTGATGGATGTTTAAAGCCCTCCTCCATCCAAACTTTCTAAGTAGCCTCTCTAGAATAATGGGTCCTGGTGAAACTATTGGATGGGATTAACCTTCTAATCTCAGAGCAGGACTATGATATTTTTATAGCCCTGAAGTTTTTATTACCAATGTGAGAGTGCTAATTTTATAAGCAATAACTCTGTGCACCATCTCCCTCCATCCTTTTTAAGGCTCTGTAACATTAAATTTGCAGTATGCAAGAGAAGAGAAGCCTGAACTCTCAGTCCCAAGTGAATGACCACTTACTCATTTAAATGAACCAAGCTCACAATCCCTGAGAAACAGAAATTTCATAGCTTGTCAGTTGTAGACCTGGTATAATATCTTCCATAAAAGCACTTTTCCTTGAATCGTACAGCCCAGATATTTTGCAAAATTAACATTCCGTTATCAAATACACTTGGAAAACTGCAATGGTTCCAATATATACTGTGTCCCCCCAGGACCTGGCGGGAGGCAATGGAAACTTCTCAGAGGCGCAAGGCTCAGAGGGAGTGTGAGGTCAGTGGGGTGAGAGGGGTTTCCGGTGTAGCCCTGCGGGAGCTCTCCTGAGAAGCCTGTTAGGAAAGCAGCAGGTCTGGTCTCACACAGCCTCCCTTGCTCAACACTCCTAATTTGGGCTGTTGTGTCCTGCTTGTTCCCACCATGTGTGGCACCTGATACGGAACAGGTGAGCCCATGAATCTCTAGACTTAGGGAACTGAACAGACCACATTTTCTTGCTGCCTTGGGTATTTAATTGTAGTAACTCACAGCTGACCGATACAGAAATACAGGATTAAACTGAGTATAAAACAATTCTTCAACATATGTGCAGAATCTTACTGTATATTGTGATCCCACACACACAGAACATAGCATTTTTCGGTTTTATTTGACCATGGAACATTTTCATCATGAAGATAATTTCCTGAAACACACTTTGAGGAACATCATGCTAGAGGTCCAAGTTCCAGAAGGCTCAATATTTCGACAGACTGTACTACAAAGTGGTTTTAGACAAACTTGGCCCTCAGCAACTCTATGCTGCTATGAAAAGTTTTCCTCATGATGAAAACAGCCCACGACTAATACTCACTATGCTTTCGCTGAGCACTTGTCCTGTGGTCATGAGACCGCTCCCTAAGCACATCTCCTGCTCAGACTCGTTGAGGAAGCAGAGTGGTTTCTCTTGAGTTCTGATTGGCAGAACTCGAGCTGTCAAGTTGTGTCACTTGGGTTCTGTGTCAGCATGTTACTTGGGGCCACATTCAGTGTATCAGCCCACGGGGAATAGTCGTCTTCAGCCCTCAGAAGGGAAACTTTGCACAGACAAAGGGGTTCTTCTGTATCCCAGACAACTGAGCCCCGATTCTAAAGAAGGGCCTGTGTTCCAAGAATGCTGGGCTAGAGACCACTGCTGACGCTACATCTCCTGTCACCACCTCTGCAAAAACAACGACAAACTCCAGACAGCAGGTCAGCATCTTCTGTGCAGTAGACAGCATGTGAGGCTTAGTCAGCCCATCCCACGTCCTCTGGCTGGAGTGACAATAGTGGCAGGAGAGGTCGCACTTCTAGCAGGAAGCTATGGCTCCTGCCCAGTTGGCAGAGATGGGGCTTCCATCTTCAGTGAGAGCCTCTCCAATTTCAGAAATGTCAACTCTTGTCCCAGAGACTTGGATGTGTTGACTTCTGGTTTCTATCATGTTCTTGGAGATGTGATGTCTGGAAACCACAGTCCATCTGTTTTTAAGTTTTCTTGTTTAAAATAGCACCTTTGCAAACATTAACGCTGCTATCTTTTCACAAGAAAAGCGTGAATGTTCTCTGAGCCAGATATGGGAGGGCGATGTGAACCTGAGTACAGATGTCCACCTGGAGGTCAGAAGGGGCAGTCCACAGGTATGACAGGCCATTCTCACGGGCACTGCGACAGCTGCACAAACACCCTGAGCTTGTCCCGGAGCTCAGAGAGCCTGGAGAAAGGAAATGGATGAAGTCATGCTGGTGAGGCTGTGTCACCCTGGAGCAATTAGGACCCTTGCCCAGCGCCTCCCAGGCCCAGCCCAGCACACCCACAGGTGTGTTGTCCTTCTCCAGCTGCCATAACAAGACCATGCCAGCTCAGGGGCTGAAACAGACCTGTGCGGCCAAGACTAATATGACAAGGCCACAGAAGCCAAGCCAGGAAGAAGAGGGAAGGGTCTCTTTGGCAAAATGAAAATAAGTCGCAAAATGCCATTGTGTGTGATTACCCAGAGAAGAAGGCTCCGAGAGCAGAACTGTGAATTCTTTCAAATCACTGTGTGACGTTTGTTCCTGCAGAGCCAGGTGGTCCCCAGAGGTGCAGAGAGGGTGTTAATCACCATGGTGCTGGGACAAACAGGAGGAAGAACCAGTTGTAACTCTTGTCCAACCCAAAGCCTCTGTAAGTCAAGGGACACCAGGGAGACACACCCGCCAGTACTTATACAACTTTTTATACAATTTTCCATTGCTTGCTCCTGAGCTAGGTGGGATTATGTATTAATCCCATTTTGTTGATGAAAAATTCAGACCTGAAAAACTGTGAGCTTCCCAAATTCACTCCATCGGTACCCACGGAGCCCTGTACCAGGACATCTCTCACCCTATTATGTATGTTTCGTTTTCCCCCTGATAGTCTGGGTCACAGAAGCTGTCAGAGAGCAAATAGCTCAAAGAATGCTGGGAGAGAGACCACGACTGACTCCGCTGCCCCTGATGTCACCACATCTGGAAAAACAACTCCAAGGAAACAGTCTACATAGCAGATCAGCATCTTCTGTGATCAACTAGAGAGGGTAAAGGGCATAATAACAGCCTCCCCAAGCCACTCAGAAGGTCACATTCATTGATTTACTCTGTCCTTATCCCAGCCTCCTGTCGGCTGAGGCTGCAGGGAAGACAAGTCTTGTTTGTTGTGCAGGAGGCCAGAGGGGCAGGGGGAGAAGAGGTTGGGTCACAGGTGATGGCTCTATCCTGACTTCTTCAGCTCATCCTCCCTTCAAATTCCACCTGGGTGACTTCACAAGCTAGACTTTCTCCCAAATCCCAAATCAAGGTTAAGGGTGCGCAAGGATAGAGCCAGCCAACCTGTTAGCCTGCGCACAGCCAAACCTCCATATTCAGACCTCTCCAGATTCCTGCTAATCACTCACATGCTTGAAATAGTTTTGGTGACTTTTTAAATAAATAAAAAACTGTTGTCAAAGGGTAGAATTACAACAATTTAGCTTAACAATCTTAATTGGCTTTGTTTTGCATTCTAGATTGGGCAACACTCTGTTCCAAAAACCAGAAACGTTTCAATGAGCAGAGCACAGAGGTTGGGGTTTATAGACAGAAAAGGGCTAAAGAAAGCAGGATCAGAAAAACAAAAAGCAGATTAGCTATTTCAAAGGCACTGGCCTCCTAAGGCAGAGACAATGAGAGAAAAAGAAAAATAACTGTTTGGTTAACATAAATTCTTCCAGATTGCTTACAGTGTAAGAATTCAAGCAGAAACAAGTTCATATAACACCAATCAAGACCGGATTGTTTAGAAATTCTGTGTTCTCTCCAGCTTTGAGTGTTACACAAGTGGAGAGAAATGGTTTGCTAGCTGGGTGACACAGAACTCAAGTGTGAGTGACTCCATTTTGATTTGGGGGACTGATGGGGTCCGGGCAGGAACTTCAGCTAAAACAATAGTCTTTTGTAACATTGCATTCATGTCCTATTCCTGCTGTTCAGATATTTTTCATCTAAATGAAACAGTATGCAAGGGAGTGAGCCAAAACGTTTCAGTGTTTACCAACACTGCAAACAGACCGACAGCTAGAGTTGGCGGAATGTCTGCTGTGCATTTAAGAGCTGTTGGTACACAGCTCGGTGACAGCGTTCCGTCCTTTGGCTCACATTTTCATTTTATAATCACTGTTGCTAGAGTGACTCCTCTTAAGGAGGGGGACCAGCCACTCATTATTCTGATTGTCTTTTACTTTTCTGTGCTGGAAATCAAACCCAGCACCTTGTTCACACACATAACTGAGCTCCATTCTCAGCCCTTTTTGTTTGGGGACAGGTCCACTAAGATTACTTAGGCCAACCTTGAACTTGAAATCATCTTGCCTCAGCCTAAGTAACACCCAAAATGAAGGAAGGAAAGTTTATTTAGCTCACAGTTTTTGGAGGTTTCAGCCCATATTCAGCTGGCTCCAAGGCAGGCTGGCGTGACTGAAGGGAACAAAAGGGAATAGGGTATAAGGGAACAAAGAGCACATCTCCTTCCTTCCCTTAAATTGTATGCTGGTTACCCACCCCTGAGTGGGTGTGTTACTCAGGCCACCAATCCCAGCACTAGCTAATGAACCAATCACAATTGTTAGATTCAGCTGCCCTAGAAAGGCCCAATTCCATGACTACATGAGGCTTTGAGGGACCTTTAAACAAACCACAACTAAACAGTTGTTTTCAGATTTCTTAGAAAACAGTGCCTTGAAACAAATTGTCAGAATCCTCAGTTTTCAATAGCAAACAACTAAATTCAGCTGACATTTATTGAGCGCCCAGTAGTCAGCAGGTACCACAAGGCAAACAGGATAAACAAGACAAGAATCCCAGTCACAAGACGCCTGAGAGCCCAGCAGCAAAGCCGCATCTGCAGTCTTTCCCTGCTGCTCAGCGATTGTGAGAAGAGTGGGCACTTCTGGTCTCCAGGGACTGGGCCAATGTCCAGCTGGTAGGACAACCTGACCTGCTTGCAGGTAGAATCTCCTTCCTAGGAGCCTAAGGAGTTGTTAACCTTTCCTTCCTTCATTTTGGGAGTTGGGTATTTTGTCCCAGCAATGAGAGAAAAGTAACCAAGACAGTTGTCAAGAGTGATAATGTGACATTTTCACTCAAATGCCAGCCCAACCAGGCCTGCTCTGCCTGGTGCACACCGAGTAGGGGCTCGACACTTGCTCAGATGAAATGAGTATTCTGCTCCCCACCAATTCTGATTTTACAGTTGTTCAAAGCCTGTAATTTTCCTAAAAGATAGATGTTATGGTTGGGATTTCATACATTCCCCAAAAAGGTTCTGGTGAAGGATTGGTTGCTGAAGGGTTTTCTGGGAATGTGATTGGATCGTGAATTAACTTTTATCAGGTGGATTCACTTATGTCTGAGGTTATAATTTCATGGCATTATTGGGAGGTTATAGAAACAGGAGGGGGGGCCTGGTTCAGGGAGTCCATGATGGGAATGTGACCTAGGAGACTATATTTGGTTCCCTGTCTGGCTGCTTCCCTATCTTTCTGCTTTTTGGCTGCTGTAGTTTTAATAATTTTCTTTCACCACCTTCTCCCATGATGATTGTCATTTGCCACAGGCCTAAAAACAGTCCAGCCAACTGACCATGGGCTAAAAAACCACTGAAGCGGGGAGCCAAATTAAACTTTTCCCTTTAAAGCTGTTATCCTCAGGTATTTTGTCAGAGTAATGGAAAGCTGACTAACATAATGGATTATAAGAACATAAAAAAGATTGAATATTAAAAAAAGAGATAAGGCCGGGGGTTTAGCTCAGGAATGCAAGCGCCTGCCAGGCAAGTACCTGCCAGGCAAGCTCGAGGTTGTGAGTTGGATCCTCTGTACCTCCCCCACCAAAAAAAGAGACAAGAGCCTTTAAATAATAAAAGAGTCATTAACTTTGGCAAAAATAATGTACTGACCAGACATTTTAACCTTCCTAAGCCCTCCAGTGCCTCATGTTCACTTAGGGAAGAGATTCTACCAGCAAACAGGTCAGGTCACCCTACCTGCTGGACACTGGCCCTGTCCCTGGAGACCAGAAATGCCCACTCTTCTCACAATCCCTGGACAGAGCGAGCCCATGAGTGGGGCTGGGGGAAATAAAAGTGCTTTCAATCCCTGAGGCCTTAGCCTCCAGCCCTACTGCACACCCCAGACCTGAGGTGAAGGAGGGTCTGAGCATGAGATCCGGGTTGCCCACCCTGACCTTAGCCCAGGACTCCATCCCACTGTGACTGGTGACTGTGAGCCTTGCTTTTTGTTCCCACCCTGCGTCCCCGTTCTTGCTTTCATGTGTGCTGTCTTCCCCCCATCCCCACAATTACCTGGTCTCCTTTACATTCGCAATTCTGGTGTTTTCAGTCCCTGTCCTTTACGGGTTCCATCCTTAGAGATCATCTTTCTTCTCCCTTTTGAGCCTAATTCTTTTCAAAAGTTTCTCAAACAAAACCAATTTAGGAAGTGTAATTGGGCACGAGCAGGGCACTATGTTGACAGACTATCCTCTTCCCTGCGCAGGGCAGGGTAACTGCCAGAACCTCAAGCCAGCTTGACACAGAGCTGTCTGCCAGGAAACAGCCTCTGCCCCTGCTGCCCTGCAATCTTTCCATTCTCCCCACACAATCAGAGACTTCACTCACACAACCCAATAACTCCCCTTGTATCTTGTATTCTGACCTTGTCTTGAATAACCTGAGAGACCTTTGGGGGTCAATTGTATCAAAGAAAGTTGATCAGGGGGTGTAGAGACAGAACTGAATACCACTCAAGGGCAGATAAGCCATAGAAATGCAAAGTAGTGGTGCCTTGGGTGTAGCCAAGAATAGCAAACTGAGAAAGGGAGAAAGAGGAGCAGGGAGCAAAGAAGAGGAAGAGATAGCCACCGGGTGTGATATCACCCAGCTCTACTGTCTCCTCCTGTGTCTATTTCAGGAAGAGTTGGGCTTAGAAAGTGGCTATTTTCAAAAGAAATTAACAAGACAAGTCAGGGGTTGGAGAGAAGAGCTATTCAGAGGCCTTTGTTTTAGGTCACCCAGTACCGGAGAAAGAGAAGAAAGTAAACCCTCTCTGTCACAGTTGGGACCTTTGTATTGGTGACACCTTCTCCTGGGTCTTGTGAAGACCCAAGTGGAAAAATTCCAGTCTTTACCCAACATAGTCATTAACAGTGCCTAAAAGCCTTCAGGGCCCTAGAAAGAATTCTATTTCCATAATGAACACATGCATTTGATAAGATGAAAGTTTCAGATCAGCCGCAGCAATCTGAGACTTGGGTTTTCATTCTAGGTCTCAACTGAACAGGCATTGGCAACACACCCTCCTCTTGCTTCCAAAGGCAACTTTTAGGTACCAGCTACCTAAGCGGTGCAGGAAATTCAAAGCCAAACAACATGTTCCTGCTGTGAAGACTGCACATCTTGGAGTCTTCATTTTATCTCTAACGTAAAATAACTAGAAAGAAGACATACAACATCCTCCCAAATTTCATTTTTCTACCCAAAGAAGATGACCCTGGGAAAACAATATGAAATAAGTTTTGCTGCAATCTATTTACTTACAAAAGAGGAAGTTAGAGCTATGGCTTGTCATATGATACACAATTATCTTTGTCAAATGACTATATGTAATTTTGTTTTGTTTTGTTTTGTTTTGTTTTGTTTTGTTTTAAATACACACTTGCCATTTGGAAGTTACCAAATGCAGCAGCTGAGTTTGTGGGTCACGGGTGAGGTTAGATTGGAGTTGGGGTGAAGCCGTGAACCAACCTTGTGAAAGGTGTCAAAGGTCATAAAAATCCCATGACTCATAGGTCTTGTGAGATGTTTCCTAAAAGAGAGATCATGCACAGAACACGGGACCCAAAATGACTTTAAATTTATGGCTCCTGAAAACAGTTGACCAATCTGGAAGGTGTAATCTTCAGTCCTTCATTTTAATCTGGCGCTGTTCCCAGGACCCATCAGGAGGTGCTGTTCTCAATGCTTTATTTACACGTGGGCACAAGGGATCCAAAGACGCAGCTTCTGGTTCTTCATTTACATCTGACAAGAGGCCAAGCAAACTTTTTGGTAGAACAACTGTCCGGCCAAGTGAGTTTTTGATAGGACAGAAGATCTAATGCCTTCTTTGCATGAGGAGGAGGAGGTCAATCCAGGTATTTGGGGGACTAAAGATTCCTTTTGCTTTATCCTGGGGCCTGCTGTGAGCCTCTAGACCAGACTGCTCTGGCTGTGTGATACGTACTTCTTTTCCACCTTCAATCAATGTGTCTTCTTGCTGACTGTCTGTATATCTTGTCCGAGTCTTTGTTCAGGACACTGGGGCCTGGACAGAAGCCCCTGAAACCCACTGCTGTAACACAAGCAGCCCAGAAATCCTTGATTTCATTGTATTAGCCCAACTAACACTATCAAGATATTTCTGGGTCCCACATTTGTGCCCGGTTAATATTGCCAGTTGCCATTGTTCACACTCAGTCAGACAGACCAGCACAGCTCTTCTGCTTGTGAGCTAAAATGTGAAGCTTTATTCCAGATAATGCCTTACTGAAGTATGAGTCCACATCAAAGTCAAGTATACTGATATAAATCCCCTACACAGGGATGCACAGAAGCCTGAACAGAAGGCTTAAAGCCAGAAATACATGACTTAGTACATGCTTTGCAGGGCAAGCAAACAATTTATTTTATACTAACCCCAAGTAATCCAAAGCCATGTACACTGAGGAATGGAAAAGTGGCAAGGTAAAAACCCACCAGGGTTATAACTATACCAAAGTTTGCAAAATGAGAAATAGTGATTTCTCATCTTAGTACTCCTGGCTGAAAAACATGTAAATTAAAGCCAGCAACTGGAAAGGGAGACGGTTAGACATGACATTAGGAGCCCTGGCTTTGCCTTCCATGGTATTTAGGTTTGAAGCCAGTTCTGTGGTGTATTTGACATTTTAATGTAGATAAGTTATAAGCTTTGTAAATTTTATTTTCTTAATAACATTTCACAAAATTGCTTTCAATATTCAGTGAGATCATGAATATAAAATATTTGGCCCAATACCTCACAAGTAGATAGAACCTCAGTACATGTACTTACCTATAATCCTTTTCTATATAAAGCATTTTACAATATGTTGAATGTATATGCATTCATATATATTATATGCATTTATATGTATTAAAATTTTTAAAACCTTTGGAAAAAAGTACTAACACTAAAACAAAGTCTAGGATTTGTTCATATAATAAAATATTTTATAATTTATTAGCAATGATTTTCTTAAGCACCAAGCACAATTTTTAACATATGTGTTTAAAACTGCAACTTTCTCTGTAAGTACTACAATAGTTGTATTCTATGAATTCTTCCATGTTACCTTTCTAATTTCATTAGGAGCAAAATATGTTCTAATTTTCCTTGCAATTTCTTCTTTGACCTTAGATGATTTAGAAATGTGTTATCTCATTTGAAGATATTGGGAGGGGGAAAAATTTGTGTTACTATTTAATTCTGTCATAACTGAAGGCTATACCTTAATAATTACATATACGAAAACATATTTTAAGGCTTCCTAGTCTCCTGGGGAATGTTCCACATGTATTTGCAAGTATAACTTGCTGTTAAGGGTAAATTATCATATAAATGGCAGTTAGAACGTGTTATTTAATAATGCTTTTCAAATCTTTTATTTCTTTACTAATTTTCTGTTTTCTTATTCTACCAATATCTTGGCCCTTATGTTCCTGAACTGAGTAGTTGTGAGAACAATTAGAATCAAGACACAGAATTTACAACATTATATTATGACAGTCACCCAGGGTTAAATAAAAGAAAGTTCAGGAAATCTGTCCACAACACTAAAGACACAGAATATTCAGCCAAGGGCCTGGATCCCACGGCAGTGCCCTGCATGAGTCCAGATGAAGACCTAGAGCCCATGACAATGCCTCCCAGAAGTCCAAGTGGAGGTCTAGAGCCCACAAGAAGGACTCAGGCCAGTCTGTTCTATGGATCCATGCTGGGAAGACCCAAAGGTCAATGGTGGAAGCTTAGGAAGTCTATACCAGCGGGGTGAACGAGCTGTGCTAGTAGGTTGAGGTTTTTACACTGGAGCTGAGAAGTCATACTTACAACAAAGACCAGGGCTGTCCTGAAAAGCACCACAGGCGTCCTCAGCAACACAGAGATCCTGAGCTCCTCTGATGATAAGAACAGTTGAGTACATGCCAGGAAGCCAGTGTGATGAATTTCTCCTGGAGACTAAACGGCAAGCATCTTCCCCTCCAGAGCCCAGAAGTGATGCTCGATGTAAGGACCAGAGCTCCCCCAAAGTGAACCACAGCCACTCTCACCGACAAGGACCCGAGCTCCTCCAATGACAATGGCCGAACTCACACTAGGGAAGCTAGTCATGATGAGCTCCTCCAGGAGAACCAACAGCTCAAACAGTAACACATAGGAGAATCCTATGTGTTAGGATTACATAATTAGAAGAATCCTTCTTCTTCTCCAGGTCTCTGTTTATGCTGGCAACTTTCCTCAGGTGGAACATCTACGCTCAGCAACATGTTGATTTAATTCAGCTGGTGTGAAGTTGACCACAAGTATTCAATCCATAACAGTAGTCTATGTTGCATTTTGCATCTCTCAGTTTTTGCTTTGTGTATTTAGTAATTCTGTTGTTAGGTGCATACAGACTGGAAATCACTATATCTTCCTGATGCACTGACCCTGTTAGAACTATGAAAGATTCCTCTTTCTAGTAATATTTTCCAAAAGTCTGTTTTGTTTGATGTTAATACAGCCACTCTGGCTCTCTTATTGCTATTGTTTATATGCTATAACTTCTCCATTCATTTGTGTTCATTCTAGTTGCATGTTTGATTCTGTCTCTTGTAGTCGGCATACCACTGAATCTTTCTTTCCTGTGCCATCTGACAACCCTTGTTTTCCTTGGAGTGTTCAGACAACTAAATGAATTACCAGCTATGATTTTAATAATCAAGTTATGTCTGCCTTTGTGCTGTTTGCTCCAACATGGCTCATGCCTTTGTAGTCCTGTTTCTCCTCCACTGAAGCCTTTGGTGTGAACAATTATTTGGCACATTATTTTAACTTTTCTGTTGATTTTTGAGAAGTTATTTTCTTAATGTTGCTCTAGAGATTAAAATGCTTGTTTTATCAATATATATGCTATTTTCTGCAAAATAAAGCAGCTGTGTTCCTTTGTAACTTAATTTCCACTCCTCTCCTTTATGCCATTGTCAAATGCATTCTATCTTCCACTATAAACTCAATACTATAATGTTATAGTTATTGCTTTATTGTGCAATATAATATAATGATTGTTCTTTAAAACACTGAAGGACAATAAAAGTATATATGACACAGTCTTTTACGTTTATCTGTGTAGTTTACCTATCTACTGTTCTTCATTTCTTCCTGTCAGTTTGTCTTACAGTGTTGATTCTTTTCATTTCCCGTAGAATTCCTTGGAG